GGGGGGGGGAGAGCCACGCCACGACCGCTGGGGCTGGGACCAGCTCCAGCAATAACCACTTGCCGGCCCACGCGTATGGCTCCAGTGACTGGGGCCAGTCTCCAGCGCTCCAGCGGCCAGCCTCCAGCAGCGGCTCCAGGACTGGCCTGGCCCGTGCCACGCGCATGGCCCCCGGCGCCAGCCGCGCCAGCCGCGCCGCAGCACAGCCCGGCGAAATGGAGAGAGAGTGAGACAGAGAAGGGGCGAGAGAGGCGCAGAGGGAGAGGGAGAGTGGGTCCCGCCCAGCCCGCTGCTCACGTCTCCGCATGGATACAACTGCCTTATAGCCAATAAACACGGGACTGTTTTGGACTTTGAAAATTGATGCCGCGTATTTTTATGATTTTCAAATTCGTAGACGCGCGTCAGGCTCCGCGGCTGTCACCCCGGCAGGGCCGGGCCGGGCCGGGCCGGACCGGGCGGCCCAAGGGCGGGCTGCCGCCAGGGACGCGACGACGCGGCGCGCCGGCCACGGTCCTGCTTTGGGGGCAGGTCGTTATTTTTCGGGTCCAGCTGATGGTGACATTCCAGACGGACGTAAAAAAAGAGAAGACAGACGTAATGACAGCATCCCGGTTGTCCAGATCCCAGCACGCGGATCCTAATCGGGATTGATATCCGGTTGCACGGGTGGGGGGTGGGCCTCCACAGCTGCGGGGGGCTCTGGTGGTGGCGGGCCCCGGCGGTGCGCACGCAGTATACCTTTGCAGACGCTGCAGCAGGAGTCCCTCGGCGTGTTGAGCAGGAGGTAGCACCCTTGCTGCGCCGGGCAACGCTCGGCCTGGCACTCCACGAAGCCATTCTGAAACAAAGAGGCAGCAAGGGTTTAGTTCACGTCGAGAGTCCCCGCAAGCTGCGTCGACGTCCGTCGTCCTCGTGGAATGCGACTGCCAGTTCGTATCATCGACTCCTGGAGGAAATTCCCCCGTGGGCCGGCGTGACAGCAGACAGCTGTTTCTCCCGGCTGCTTCTATGAGGACGGGCGCCGGCGCCGGCCTCCAGACCGATAAAGGGTGGGGCCTGTCTAGAGCGCCAGTGACGCTCCCGGCTGGAAAGGGCGCTACTTGTCTACACTTTGACCCCTCGCCCACATTTTTGTGTACATTTTTCGTGCGCCTAGTCCGCGGTGAGAGTCACCGATCTATGTGAAAAAACAGGTTACAATTAGTGCAAATACTGCAAAGACTGCCCGATACATGGAAAAAATGTTATGGACACCTCAGCAACACCACCACAAACATCAAAAAAAGGCCCACTAGTCTCGTGGAATGGAGTTACACGAGTTTTTGGTCAATAATTTGCCACCTTTACCCGTTGTAGAGACTGTGTGATTTTTGACAGGGGACTAGCAAGAAATAGAGCTAGAGTTCAAATGTTGAACCCGCGCCTCGCCCCTCCCACCCCTTTCTTGCGACGGAGTTGCACGGGGGGGGGGGGGGGGGGCAGAGGACAGAGGAGACCTGCGGAGGTGGGTCGGGAGTGATCGGCGGGGTGCACGCCCGGGAGCAAGGCCGCCCGCCAGGTGGGCCCGGCCCGGCCCCGGGGGGACAGGACAGCACTAGCCGCTGGAGGACCGCCATGGAACACATTTTTGGCAGCGCCGTCGATGATTTTGATTTATACCATTTGATTGCTGACAAGGACGAGGGACTTTGCGCTCGCGGCCGTTCACTGGCGGGGGGAGGAGAGGGGTCATATAGCTTGGGCGGTCGGCAGGGTCGGCACGGCGCTGGAGGTCGCCAGGAGGAGCGCGGGGCGCGGCGGGGCGCGGCGGGGCTGCAACAGGTGTGTACGATGTGTAGCTGTGCTAACTCGTTGGACTCGCGCCGCCACGCCCCGCCACGCCCCGCCCCACCGCGCCCCGCCACGCCACGCACCGCCCCGCCGTGGCCCGTTCGCGGTGATCGGATCTGCTGGACCAACGACGCGAGAGGCTGGGAGTAAGGAGGTGGAGGAGGAGGAGGAAGCGGGGCGGGCGGGGGACCGGCTTGACTGCATGCCAAGGCACACGCTCGGCTTCTCGACGGGGCGTGGCGGGGCGTGGCGCGGCGTGGCGGGGTGCGGCAGGAGGGGGCGCGGGGG